GGCGAAACGTTTCGGACTTTGGGGGGAGGTTTAGGACGAAACACTGATGCTATTAGGTTTGTCTTATTAAACCGAGTCTATTAGTACTAAAATTATTCAGTTTTAATTGTCATCACGATTTGATCAAACCATTATTTTGTATATTATGTATGAATTTGGCTGTCTATTTGTAAGAACTTGTTTTAAATATAAAAATTGGAGCAATTATTGTTGTCTAAATTGAAACATCGCATGTGTTGAATAGATTTTTCTGATTGGTCAAAGCACAATATAAATTAAGCCAATTTGTGTAATATGCTGTCTTTATGACATTGTAAAATCAAGCAAGCATTACGTATTATGTGTATTTGATAGCCCTTTGTAAATTCAAGTATTTGCGGAATTTTTATTCGGATAAACGTTGGATTTCGGCGTATTTCTCAGATAAACTTTGAAAATTTTCTGTCAACTAATCTCATAGATCATTAAATGCTCTAAAAATAAAAAATTAAAATGACTCAGCCAATTATTTTAACTGATCACTTTTCGCTACAGAACATATTGTTTACTACACGTGAAATCATTTAAATACGTATGTTGGGTTCGGGTTCAAATAAGGAAATGTTCGGGAAATTGTTACACGGCTCATTAAGGTCATTTGCGTAATAAAATGTAGAAATGAAAAAAATAATTAATTGACAAATCGTAATTAAAGGGTCAAAAATGATCGACATTTTATAATTGCTGGTTACGGGCATTTAATAGTAAAATTTTCTTAGTACTGGAATGGTGAAAGATTGTCTCATTAAAAATGTCAAAGAATAAAAAATATACTGTACGGCTCACAAATAAAGGGAAAATAAATCCAAAATTTCATTACAGACCATATGCTCAAGATTGGCGGATTCAAATTTCAAATAACAGTACATTAACTCTTCCATTTCGCCTTTATATGAATGTGATAACTCAAATAAATGGTCATGAATTTGTTTTATCTATTGTTAATAAACCATCAAATCCTTTGCAACCCGGTTTTTTATGTTCTACAGAAGAAGAAATTAGCAATATACATGATACACCTTCAGCGGCTATCAACTTGTTATATCGGGAGTTATTTGGAACCCAAACTGAGCATTCGGGTTTGGCTGTTCTTGGGTTTTATAATGAAGAGATTATATCAGAAATACTAACTGATATTTTGGTTTTTCCATTATATATAAGGGTTGATAACAAATTTTCTGTAGTGGTTTCAAAAATTGGCTACTCTTCACGGGAGGAACTTTTATATGCTGGACCCGGCTATATGTTAGAGTTGGGCACCGAAACCCGAAACCTCTCCGAAACCTTAAAATTAGAATGTTAATAACTAATGCATATTTACTATAAAGTAATCAAAACATTTCGGAAATGCAATCTAATTATCATGTACTTTATGTCTTAAAGTCTAAAATTAAAATTTTAACCCTTTTAGTATAGCGATAGTATAAAGTTTCGGAAAAGGGTTTCGGGATTTCGGAAAAGGTTTCGGGATTTTATATATAGTTTCGGATTTCGTTACCCAACTCTAGCTTGAGAGAACCTTAAACCATATGAATAAAAATTTAACAAGAAATTAATTAATATATTGATTGATAATGTTCAATTGATTAAATAAGACAAAGTTCTGAAGATACTCAATTGAAATATCTTGTGAAAATTTGACAGTATATGACGAAGAGTTTTGTAGACCAATTTCAGTCGTTAAAGAAAGTATTATATTGTTTTAAAATCATTATTACTGTAGCTACCGCTACGTAATAATATTTAATACAATGCTAATGCAGTACTGTATCGGTATTATCTACCATGCAATCCTTGAATGTGTGCCAGGTTGGTGGCGTATTTATCAACCCAAGTAATTTGCGCCAATTAAAATTCTAAAAACAACAATAAAATTATAAGTTTTAATAAAACGAAGACGTCAACTTTTAACATTATACTACTCGAATCAAATGTTACTATTTTCATTTCCCTTCATTTTTTTTCATGCCCTTTAGCTTCTAATATTATTGTTTTGAATTCGAAAAAATATTTGTATTCTTTTAAATTTATAATGTCTATAAATTATAGTTTCAAAATTTTACAGACCGGAATGATGACAACTCATCAAAGTTCTAATAGTAGTGTGTTCTTATTCTTAAAGGAGTTTTACCTTTTAAAACCAAGTTTTATAAACATAGTTATTAATCTAACGTACTTCCGAAATTACTATAATGTATCATATTAAGTACGGTCAAGACTGTATTCGTGTTCCTGTTATATATCTTCAATTCACATAAAAAAAATAAAAAACATTCAAAGTACAGGATAGTTGAAGAAGCACATGGTGGAAGTTAAAAATAAATTTTATAAACATACTGAAATAAAAGAGATCATTGTGGCTAATTAATGCGCCACCAACATGGCACACATTAAAGAATTGCATCTACCACAGCTTGTGCTCTAGCCATGACACAAGTTGCAACTTCAATAATTATGGAGCTATGACTTAAAAAACTGATTCAGTTGCAGCTGATGCATTGCCACAGTTAAAAGCTACAACCCAAGTTGTAGCTTAAGTTGCAACTCATCGGATTTTGTCGGTTTGGCTCCATTGTGCAACTAAAATCGGCTTCGGATAAGCCGTTAACAGTTCTGAAAACCACCTGAAGACAGTTGACAATAAGTCCATATTTGATAAGTTCAATTGACGATAATAAAAAAAATTAGCTTTTTATAAATGTATGTCATTCACTTAATTGATAAAAATACAACCCGAATGTTTATTATGACTTTATCACATGATTATCAGGGATAATTTTTATTGGTTGACTTTATAAAAAAAAAATTTTCAGTCCTCACTTTGTTGACATGAGCGGGATATGAAAACCAATTGTATAAATTTATATGGCCTAATGAAAATTGGCCAATTCTTTTTACTAAGCAGACTGCACAACAAAGTTCAATAATTTTGCTGCCACATGTTTTAAATACCATATATTCTTCTGATAATGCATTTAAATACAAAGAACTAGCAGCTTGGCATTCTATGTTTAGATCTTGTGGGTGTACAGATATTACACCATACTCAAAAGAAGAATCAGATGTAGAATTTTGGACTTGTGCTATAGATCCTAGTGCAGATCGATGATTTTTACAAAATTTATATAAATGAGAATTACTTTGGATACAGGGTCAAGAATCTCTATATAATATTACAACAAATTGTCAGTTCTGAAATAGTTTTCGCCATGCGCTAGAGATTAGTAAAAGGGGAGCTGAAGAAAAAATTTGATTATTTTTTATTATTGCTTTTGACTTTAATTATCAAGTTATTCAAAATAAATTAGAAGTAAGGCATGAAGTATTTATTTTGTGATAAAATATATTAATGCGATACAATTTATTTTTAATTATAGATAACATTAAAAACTATATATAAAGCCAAAAGACATGCATGTCTCTATGGTGCTAGTGCTCTGCCAATACAAATGCCAAAAAGAACAACCAAATTAATGGCCAAATTTAAGGAGAGACAGTTTGAGATTTTTTTCAGATAAAGACAACATGACAATGAGTTCTTATAAAGTAGATCTGAAGACTAACTTGCCTATTTTTATTTATATAACAATAAGATGGCTCTTTGGAAAAAGTTTCAACAAACTTTTCCAAATAGGATAAAAAAAACCTCTTTTATGGGTCGAATTGCAAATTGTAAACAACTAAAATATTAGGATGACTTGAGTGGTCTTTGCAGAATATGTAATAATTATGAATTTGGATTATTTAAAGGCTTAGTTGAAATTGCATGAAATACCTTTACTGACAAGATAGAATTGATATTAAACCTTTTATTTTAAATTTATGAGTTTGAGCTTTACTTCATTGACAAAATCTGAGCAAAGCAAGACTAAAGAGCCATGTAAAAAATAACATTTTAATCAAAAAATCTAGTTTTTTTTTTTTTTTTACTTCATTTTTACTTTAATTGAAACATGAATTTTTTGGAATAATTTTTTTTTCTTTTATTATGTGTTTTATTTTATTTATTTTATTTTTTTTTTTTCATGATACAAAAATCATTTTAACTAGAAGTTTTTTTTTTAGAATGAAGTATATTTATAAATTAAGTAGCTGTGACACTACTTTAAAAGAGATTTTGAAAGGAAATTGTTAATATTACCAGATGGATCAATAACTCATGACCCTTGTATTGACCATTGCCTCCCATATGCTTTTGGAGAATGTTTGGCTTCACATGTTTTGAGATGTTCTGAGTACAAACAATTTTATAATTTTTTTTATACATTAGAAAATCATGTAACTGACGAATATGTAAAACAGTTGTGCAAAATTCAAGAGCGATTGAAACATTATCTAGATCACTAAGCATGAAAAGCTTATCTTAATGCTTAATTCAAGGCAACTTTAGCTCAGTTGGACTTTGAGAGTACTCTAATTGTTGCTGATTATAAGATGTGAGTTCTTCTGAAATCTGCTTGCAAAACTAAATGAGATTTTTTTAGTAAAAAGGGTTGGACTTTATATACTATACTTGTTTTTAGAAAATTGCAGATCAGGATTTATTAGATATTCGGGCATTTGACTATTGGTTCACCAAGATATGTGGTTCATTGCTTCTTCATTTGATGTATTATTTAATTTAATGAAACATAAACCAAAATAGTAACTATAATTTCTAACAACAGCATGCACTATTATAATTTGGAGTTGATGATAATTGTAGTGCATTGGTATACTTGGTATTCTATTGAAATCAAACGATGGCTATTTCTGGAGCCAGAGGAGGCTAAAACAACTATTGACTCCCATCATACAAACATAGTATCAAAATTTTTTTTTACAAGCTATGTTTTAAGAGTTAACAAAATACTACCAATTTAATGCTTTAATATTACCTTAGATCAGCCATAGCATTAAAAGATATATACGAATCAGATAAAAACAAAGATATAGTCAAAGCAGTAAAAGGGCTTGCTAGAATGTTATTGCCACAAATTATAATAAATCGTGACGATGAAAGTAGTGAATTAGAAGTTGAGGATGTCGAATTAAATAAAAAAAAAATAGTAATTCAAATCAAAAAAAACAAAACTAAAACCATGGCTAGAATTTCAAAACTGTATTGTTGGAAGTGGCCAACAAAAGATGCATTTGCTGGATTCATTTGTGCTAGAGGATTATCTCATATAGGGTCTTGGAAAAATTTTTTCCTGGCAGAATTTAATGCCCTCATTATTCACCCAAAGCTAATAGTTTCAGCACACACAGATTCTACATCTGACTAGACTATGTCACTTCCAACAATAAATGATATGTTGTAGTATATGAATAACTTATTAGAAATAAAATTGATATTTATTATAAACGTTAGTTCCTTCGAGTAGTAAAATAGAAATAGATAGTAAGTTTTAATTTTATTATGACTTAGTTTTAAGAAGTACTAATTTACATGCTTATGAGACAGATATTATAAATTTCAGTAGCAGAGATCGTTACTTAGGTTCTAAAATAGACGTTAATGGTAGGAATCAATTGTTTTAGTGTCTCAAAGTTCAGTTGAATAGTTATTTCTAGCTAAAAAAAAATATATGCATGAATTTGGACTGGGCAAATGGAAATTACAATTAATACACACTCATTTATTTTCAAAAATCTGTTAAAATAGGAAGCCTAGATGGAATTAAAGTGGAAATGAATGAACAAAATTTATTTATTTAATATCAAAAATTAGTCGACATAGGTAATCAAAACACAAATCTGGGCTGGTTAAAAAAAATAAAATAAACAAATAATTAGATGTTTTATAAAATAGGTGGGCAGACTCCACAAACTCCACAACTCTGCTAAATATTTATTAATAATTACTAATTAGTAGTGGAGTTTATTTTTTATATTGCCCACCTATTCTATAGAACATCCAAATGATTACTTATTTTGTGTAATATTTATTTAGGAAATAAAGACAAACAGAATTCTTTCAAGAATCTGCAGATATGGAAAATTCATATGGAATTAAGATTGAAATAAATGATAAAATGAGTAATTAAATCACAAATTTAGGTTTTATAAAACAAAATAAAGTTTACTCACTTTAAACAATTTATTTGGAAAATGAAACTGCAATGGATAAACAAAGAGAATTCATTCATTTTTAAAAATCAGCAGAAACGGAGGATTCTAATGGAATTAGAGTTGAAATAAATGAACTAAATGTATTCATTAATTATCAAAGATCAGATAAAATAAATAATTCCAGAGAAAGGTTCGTAGAACTGTTGGCATGATTTATTTCAATTTTACTAATGTAGTTTTTTTTAGAAATATTAAGAAAACATTTCAAATACCCAAGGATTGGACATTTTCAGCAAATGCTAAATTTGAAAAAAAGAGTAAAGGAAAAAGAATCAAGGCTGAGGTTGTAAATATTTTGAAGCAATTTTTTTGAATGGAAATTTAAACCCCAAGGACAAAATGACGGCCAAGGAGATGTATAAGAAACTGTTGAGGTTCACGCATGCCAAAGAAATTAAAGAGGATAATGTGCCTCAATTAACTACAATTCAAAATTAAATTAGCCACTATGCTAGAGAATTTAATTGAGAAGAAATAGCTATTATGCTTGAAACCTTTAAAGCAATAAACTCTTCTTCGAGTAGCTAAAATTAGTAAGTATTTGTATTTCATTCTATTCTAGATATCAAATTTAACAACTCAATTTTGTGTCAAAAATAGAATTGAAAAGAATGAATATAAAGTACTCATTTATTATCAGAAATCTATTTATATACAAGTTGGGCTATTGCTAAAAACATTTATTGGTTTAAAGTAGGGTATGTAAATGGAATATTAATATTATGAATAAATAGAGTAAAATTTGAATCAGATTAATAAAATTGAAATTTCAAGATTTTTGCTTATAAAAACATATATATGATATACAAATTCTTCTTAAATGCATGATGCACTATTTATTGCTATATACTTTGTTTTAAATCAAAGCTATAAAGAGATCAAGTCAAAAAAATAATTCAATATTGCTTATATCGAAAATATATTTCATTAAAATATAAAAACAAAAACTCTTTAACACTAAAATATTATAACACACTTTAGTACATGCTTCTATATAATTTACAAAATAATCTGTAAAATATATATACAAACTTACGTTAAAAGTCATTTCTTATATCATTATCACAATATAAGTGCAGGTAAACTTGTCTGAAATCTTTCTTGAGTGCAATTTTCCATTTTTGCTCGCTTTTAGTTGAATTGGTAATGGTTTAAAAAAAGTTAATTTTCTGCAACTACTATATGTTAACTGAAAAAAAAAACTTTTAGTAGGCCAAATTGAGACAAAAATTATAATAGCAAAAGTTGGTTGTAATGCTTACGAATAAGTTAATTAGTCTTAACAATTTTTGTTACATTATAGCTTTAAAGTTACTAAGTAATGTTTTACCTCATTTTAAAAAATTTAGGTAGTCTTATAAAAGAATGAGCAAAAAGGTAAAATCAAAATTACTAAAAATTTTAAACAATCTTAGCCTAAATGCGTGTGTTTTACTAAGTAAAATCTTTAAGTTATGTGGCAAAAAAGAAATTTACTTAACTTGCTGATTCCACTAGTTATGTTCTATAGAATTTAAAGATTAAATCTTGGTTTTATTCAAATATAGTATTAGTTTATTGCAAGATAAAAACTATGTATTAGGGCCTGTTATAATTGATTGCCGCCGTATAATCATATGAAAATTATACTCTTTATTTACAATCTACCAATTAAATATTTTGATCAAAGTAAGTCTAGTATTAGAGTTTTACCCAATTATAATTTAATGAATATATTATATAAACAATATCTGGATATTTTGATCAAAGAAAGTCTAGTATTAGAGTTATATTAAATTAAAGTTTAACAAATATATCATGTATAAATTATCTGAATATTTTAATTATTAAGTATAGAATATAAGTTCTTCACTATGCTCTAAACAATAATTTTTACAACTTGTATCTAGCATAAACTATAATAGCATTTTCATATGAGGGTGAGTCAGTAGAAAAGGGCCAAATTTTTTCTAAGTAAAAGTTTTCTTGACTTTAAGATTAAATATCTTAACAACTATCTTATTAAATTTAATAAAT